TATAACGCTAATTTTAAAATGATAACTTTATCCAAATGTAATATACATGTAATACATCCGATTACTGATATATGTATGTGATGTAAGTATATGATATAAGTGAAAATTTTTGCAAAAATCTAAAAATTGCATAATATTTTAAAATTTTTCCAAGTGACATATTTTTAAGTATTTCAATTTTTGACACATTGTTATATGTCACTTGGAAAATATGTCACCCATTAAAAATTGTCACTTAGGAAAAATTGTAATGGATGACAAAAATATTTTAAGTATTTCCAGAAAATTGCATAACACTCCTCGATTAAGATACCTTGGTCCCTTCTTTCTTTCTTTTTTTAGATTGCGAGTTTAATCTTCCATATCCATGTTTATTTTATTAAAAAAGATACTATTAAACTTTGTTATTTGTTTAAAAAATATTTATATCATTTTCACAAATATGTTACAATTAGCATGGAAGCTTGCATGTGTTAAGTTTGAAAAGAAGAAGCTAATGTTTCAAAAAGGGAGATCAAGGTAAACTTGGATAGACAACGAAGAAGTAAACTCTCTTGAGAATGGAACTAGGAAGAAAACTTTTAGGATAAAATTGAGACGTCAATTGTCACATCAATCCCACATCAACACAAATGTAGGTTTGTTCAAAAAGTATTTTTGAAATCCTCACGTGCACTATTTAACCATTTCCATTCTATAAATTATCTAAATTTCAAATGAGTAAACAATACTACACAAACATACCTCAACAATTAAAGACATCTAATTCATTTATACTAAACAAATATTACTAAACTTTGTCATTTGTTAAAAAAAATACTTCTATAATTTTAAAAGTTCCAATATTAACGTGTAAGCTTGAGTTAAGTCTGAAAAGAAGACCAAACTAGCCTTACTAAAAGGAAAATTTAGAGTGAAATTTGGTACATAGTAGAGAAGTAAACTCTCTTTGACAACGGAGGAATAAAATTTTCAGGATACAATTGTAACCACATCAAATTTTCGTTCCAAATATTAACAGTAGTTTGTTAAAAAATAATCTTAAAAAAATATTAAGAGTAAGTGTTAGAAACTTTTGACACATAGGGATATCTTTAATGCCAAGTAAAGTTTAGAGGTGTTGAGTTTTCAAATGTAATTTTAAGTTTTTAATTAAATGATTAAAAGAAAAATAACAGTAATGATTAGAATAATTTAAATTTTTGAATGTCAAAAATAAAATATAATATTTGAACATTTATTACCAAAAACGTAATAAGTATCAAAGTTGAAGAACTAAGATTCAAATTATTTTCAATAACTTATCCGAATTACTTAAAATTTGGGGAAAAAAACTATTTCACTAATTTTTTTCCTAAAAGGTATTTTTACACTTTCAAACCTTTTGTTTTAATGGAAAGAAGTATACGATTTATATATTTAATTGTTTTAGACAAAATATATTTAATTTATTCATTAACTCGATCCTTACTATAAAAAAAAAACAAACGTTTTCATTTTAGTACCAAACAAAAAACTTTTGTAAATCTTATCAATTTATCATTAATATTTATTTCTAAAATTATAAAAGAGAGTATAAAATCATAAACTCTGGGTCTTTGCCGTAAAAGAGACCAATATAAAGTTTAATTACTTAATTTAATTAATTAATAAATATAATTAGGAATGAATAGTTTTATACTTTGTTAATTACGAAGTAATTTATTAGAAGTATACATTTTAAAATTAATGGAAAATTTCAGTTTTCACACCTAAATATGGCAAGGTATGGTGAGGCAACTTTTATCCTAAATTTCAATTTCATCTAATTTGAATTCAAACTGGGATACAAGTTGCAATTTTCACTTTATGTTAGGACTTCTGTTATATTCACCCACCGCTATAAAAATATAAAATTCCCTCAAAATCCACTATCTATAATATATGAAAATCAAGGGATCAGTTTAACGGTAATTGAACATATATCTCAAATCAAGAGATTGTGAGTTCGATCCCCACCACATGTTGTACTAAAAAAACGAAAATCAAGCTCCCTAATAAATTAATGCACAAGTTCGACAATTGAAAAAATCTCTCCAAAACTTACAAATTAAAAAAAAAATGTCATAAGATGTTATTAAAATATCTATAAATTATTAAATTTACCCTAACTATCAACTTAAGTTTTTGGGTTCATTAATGATAATTTAATATGATATAAGAGGAGGTGTTTTGTGTTCGATAACCTCGATTATCGATGGTATATGAATGAACTGACACCACATCAGAATGAAGATAAATTCTATTAGGTCACTGAAGCATGAGTTAAGAAACACTTAAAAAAATGGATAGTAACAATCTATACTAATAAGGTGCACTTTCGAAAAAACGAGCATAGTTCAACAGTAATTGACTCTCCAACAAGGATGTTGTGAGTTCTCACCCCACATGTTGTACTAAAAAAATAGGGTGCACATCCTTTTTGAACTCCAATATTAAGGGGTTTTGGAGCAATTTTAGGTAGGAATAAGACATAGTAAAAGGACTCGTGTATTTTAGGTCAAGTAGGTTTTCAGTAGCCAGGTCGCAAGAGATAAGGAGAATGTCAGAGCCATCAGGTACCCTTAAAATCAATTTGACTTTTATTTTAGTACAACATGTGAGGTGGAGATCAAACTCACAATCTTTTGATTGGAAATATATGTCAATTACTACTGAACTATACTCGTTCTGACAGTCTGACTTTATACATTCAACTCATAGAATTAGACTTTATATAATAAGTAACGAAATGCAACCCTCTCTTACACCGACTTTCCATTTCTAATATCTATTTCAATGTCAAACCTCTCAAATATTTGACACAAAGCACACAGTTACTTTATTTGATTTTATTTTTATATAATCAATGCTAAAGAAATGATGATGGACAAGATAATGTATTTTAGCTAGTCAAATCCTTCTAAAATAGTCTACATATAAATAATAATCAATCATAATATTAATAATTTAAGAAGACCTTTGAAGGGTTTTAAGGGTTATTTCGCATAATTAAAATATATATATATATACTCTAAAAAAAAAGGGCACAGTTGAGTTTGCTACCATGTCTTCCTAGCATGAAAATCTCTCGTCCCACCCCACCATGATTGTAGTGTTTAAGGGCCCAATTAAATTAAAAGCATATAATATAATATATCATATCCAATAATCTTTATGAAAAGGAGACACATTCAAGTTGCTTATTAGTTGCCTCCTTCCACACCCATTATTCATGTTCCCCACATGGATGTTGATTTGTTAAAAAAATGTTTGAATTTGTGATCTTCAAATATATATATATATGTATATATTATTTGAAGAAAATATTTCCCTTTGAGTTGATTATCTATTATTATAAGTTATTCTTTTCTTTTTCTTCTAAAAGGGAGGAATGAGTTTAAATAAATTTAATGAAAGAGGGAGAGGAACTTTGGGTATAATTTTTCTAATTAAGACCTAATTCCATATAAAGGTCAACTGTACATGGATAAGGAGGAAAAAACAATTTGTGCTATGCAAACCTAAATCAATCTTTTGCAAAAATAAACTTGGATCGATCAAATTCATAAAAGGGTTCTTAAATTAAATAGGTTAAAAGTACTATTTATAAATATCCCACTACTTTTAACTTTAGTTAATTTTAGTCTACATACTTTTAAATTTAATTCATTTTAGAGTTATTATATTTTCAAAATATTTGTTTTGGTTCTTGTAATTTAAAAATTGATAATTTTTGTCTATATTTTCAAACGTTTAACATAGATTCTACACATAACGGGAACCATTTAATATAAAGTACAGGGGCCAAAACGAACATTTCAGAAGTAAATGGTTACATTTTAATAAATATATTGAATATAATGTCGCGTTGAAATTGTGGTAGAAAAAATGAGATTAAAAATAAAATTAAAGGATCAAAATGGTCACTTTAAGGACCTGAACATTTTATTGAATCCTCCGCTCTATCTTCATCATCGTGTAATGATTGACTTTGGTCATTAGAGGTTCCTTCACAAATATCATGTTGATATGTGTATTATTAATAGAACATATATAGCATATTTTCAACATCTACATTAAACACTCGATCGATGTTGACTTTAGATATAGAGGCAAAAGTACTTCAAATCTCTGATAATAAAACCCTTGTTGCTTCTAAAAATACCTTAATTACATCAATGAAATGTGAATATTTTTCTCGTAACCCAAACTTTTTTTTTCCCTTCGGGAAGGAGTTGTTATCATTTCATTGAGCAAAGAGGAGAGAAAGCTACAAGAAAGTTCTCCAATTAAGAGAATGAGAATGTTAGAGACGTCTAATTATAATTAAAATAAACGAGATTTTTTAGATCAAGAGCAAGTCGTGTTGATGTCATCCCAAAGATAATTTATAGGCCTACTTGCATCCATGAACTATATTAATTATTCCTCGCAACCTAAATTTACCTAAAAAGGAGTGACTTTCAAGCTTAAACAATGAGACAATTGTACTTTGCCCAAACTTTAGAATATCACAATCAACATAAGAATTAGGAAGCATTTTTAAGGATATAAAAGGATATAGTACGATAATTAGTACCTATTCCTTCCCTTAAAGTTGGAAATTCAAAAGATAAAAATCTCGCATCTCCTAATATTATAGTAATATAATCGGGTCAAAC